AGTGGAATTTGCAAACACACCACCACTTGGTATTTCACCTTCTAAATCATTAAATGAAACATTAATGCTTTTAAGGTATGAGAGTTTTTCCAAAGACTTAGGAATAGTACCTGACAATGCATTTAAAGACAAATTCAAGAATTCCAAGTTTATCAAGTTGGCAAAGGATAATGGAATTCGGCCAAAAAATGAATTTTTCGATAGGTCGAGATACTGCAGATTTTGGAGTTCCCCGAATCTGGTTGATATCATGCCTGAAAAGTGGTTACTGGAAAGATATAGTTCTACAATGGCTTTCAGTCCTCCAATATCTGATGGAAGTTCTCCCTCTATTGAATTCTGTGACACGTTTAGATAGAGAAGACCACTCATTTTCCAAAGGCTCAATGGAAATTTTGATGAAAATTTATTAGAAGCCAAATAAAGCTGTTGAAGCATGGTAAGATTTCCTAAGCATTCTGGAATTAATCCAGAGAGCTCATTACCATACAGATATAATTGAACCAAATCAGACAAATTGCATACCACTTCTGGAATATGTCCTTGCAATTTATTGTTAGATAGATCGAGTCCTTGGAGTTGTTTAAGCTTACCAATCTCAGAAGGAATATTCCCTGTCAAGTTGTTTCCGTCAAGGCTTAAGGATGTAAGACCGGTCATGTTGCCTATACTTGTGGGGATGAGGCCATTGATGTGTGTGTCTCCTATTTCAAAGTTTTGAATAGTAGATGAAAGATTCCCAATAGAATTGGGCAGAACGCCATTCAATGGATTGTTACCCACTTGTAGATATTTCAACATCCTACAGTCCGCTAAAGAATTGAAGAATAACAACTCATGCTCTCTTGGTTCATTGGTAAGTTGATTATGATGTAGAAGCAGTATTTGCAGCTCACGAAGATATCCCAAATTATTAGGAATAGTTCCTGTCAGAAGGTTCTGTGCTAGCTCCAGTATCTGAAGCTTGGAAGCATTTGTTATGAACAATGGAATTTCCCCTTCCA